AAGGGGAAGAAACGAAGGGGAAGAAGAAGAAGAACACTAAAGGGGATGTGTTCCCCTTCGGGGATGAACTAAAGGGGATGGAAGGGCTAGAGAACTAACAACTCCATGCCTTCGGCCTGTCGTTCATATGTTTCCCGAAGGGAAATTATTAACGACGTGGCCCTATAATAAAGGTGCTGCGTAAAATGTTTTTAGGGCGAAGCCCCGCGAGTAGTAGCTTAACGAATCTCACATGAATTTGAATTTAATAAAGTTTAACCATATTCACGATAAGTTATAAACAAAGCCTCGAACGACGCGTTAAGATCGGCGGAGCCAACTACCCGACGCTTTCGCTAACGGCCAAGCGCTTCCCCTTTAGGGGAACAAACATCGGCCCCCTCGGGGAACCAAAGGTTGTCTTCATCCCCTTTAGTGTTTTTCCCCTTTAGGGGAAGATTTTGGTTCCCCTTTAGGGGATGAAGAACTAAAGGGGAACCCCTTTAGTTCCCCCTTTAGGGGATGAACCAAAGGGGGAACCAAAGGTTGTCTTCATCCCCTTTAGTGTTCTTCTTCTTCCCCTAAAGGGGAACTAAAGTTCCCCTTTAGGGGATGAACTAAAGTTCCCCTTTAGGGGAAGAACCCCTTTAGTTCCCCTTTAGGGGATGAAGTCTTCCCCTAAAGGGGAACTTTAGTTCCCCTTTNATTCGTCTTCTTTAGTTCCCCTAAAGGGGATGAACCAAAGGGGTGTTCCTCCCCGAAGGGGAACTTCTTCCCCTAAAGAAGACAGAGTCCCCTAAAGGGGAAGAAGGGGTTCCCCTAAAGGGGAAGAACTAAAGGGGAACTTTAGTTCATCCCCTTTAGGGGAACTAAAGGGGTTCCCCTTTAGGGGAAGAAGTCCCCTTTAGGGGAAGAAGGGGTTCCCCTTCGGGGATGAACTAAAGGGGAACCTTTAGTTCCCCTTTAGGGGATAACCAAAGGGGATAACCAAAGGGGATAACCAAAGGGGATAACCAAAGGGGATAACCAA